CATGTTCCTCACTCTCAAAGGTTTATTATTTTAGAAGTGACTACTTCAGCCTTCTTCTTAGTCTGTATTAACCTGAAAGCGCTGGTGAAATCTGTCAACCATGGTGACCTGCTGGTATTAAAATACCAGTGGCATAGTCTTAAGCATCACAGCAGCTTCAAGCTGCTTTCATATAGTTAACTGACAGGTACTGTATTCAAGAAGAACAGTAGTTGAACAAGCAAGCATTTGTTGTTGTTGTTATGTGCTGTCGAGGTGCTTGCGACTTATAGCGACCCTATGTATAACCCCTAACCCCTGCTCTATCCTGCGCCAATCACACTGCCTCTGACACACCCATCCCGATTACCCCAGTTACTGCATCAGTCCACCTCGTAGAGGGTCTTCCCCTCTTGCGCCGTCCCTCCACCCTTCCAAGTATGATGTCCCTTTCCAAGGACTTGTCCCTCCTTTCAACATGTCCAAAGTATATCAGACGGAGCCCCGGAATCCTTGCCTTCAAGGAACAGCCTGATTTAACCCTCTCCAGGATGAATCTGTTTGTTTTCTTGGCAGTCCATGGTACATTCAATGCTCTTTTCCAGCACCACAGCTCAAAGGCATCATTTCTCCTTCTACCCTTTACTAGTCATTGTCCAACTCTCTGATGCATAACAAGTGATTGCAAAGACCATATCTTTATCAGATGCAAACAGGACCACACAAGTCATTCTCTCCCAACCTCCTACCCCCACCCCCAGTATAGCAAACTGGCCAGTAAAAATATTACTAATGATCCTCCAAAAATGGCTAAAACAGCATATTGACAGGGAACTACCAAAAGTTTAAGTAAGGTTTAGAAGAGGCTGAGGCACCAGGAATATTATTGCTGATGTCAGAAAGATCTATGTTAAAAGCAAAGAATACAAAAAGAATGTCTGTTTTCTTGATTAAAGGCATTTGACTGTGTAGATCATAACAAACTATAGCTAAACCTGCGAAGAATGGAAATTCCATTTATGTTCCTATGCAAGCTATACCTAGACCAAGAAGCTATTGATCAGACAGGGGAAGGAGACACTGTATGTCTTAAACCCAGCAAAGGAGTACATCAGGCATTTATCTCTCCTCCATACCTGTTCTGTCTGTATACTGTATACATTCAAGAAACTAGACTTTATGAAGAAGAGTATGACATCAGGATTGGAAGAAGATCCATCAAGAACTTGCATTATGCAGGTGATACAGCCTTGCTTCCTGCAAGTGAGGAAGACCTGAGGTACTTGTTGCAGAGGGTTGAAGACTGCAGCCTTCAATATGGATTACATCTCAATATCAAGAAAGCAAGTCTTCACGACTGGCTCGATAGGCAACATCATGATCGATGGAGAAAAGATTGAAATTGTTAATGATTTTGTCTTGCTTAGGTTCACAATTAACTCGATAACCAGCAGCCAAGGAGATCAGGAGATGTATTGCACTAGGAAAGTCTGCTGTCAAGAGCCTCTTCAAAGTTCTAAAGCACAATGATGTAAGTTTAAAGAGTAATGTGCACCGATTCACTCCACAATCTTTGGTCTCCTTCTGTGCATCTCAGAGACAGTGAATAAGGATGGGAGGAAAAGAATAGATGCATTTGAGTTTTCGTGTTGGAGGCAATTGATGACTGTCTTGGATTGCCAAAAGAAAAAAAAACACAAAACACCAGATAGGTCTCAAAGATAGTACAGAGTTTTCTATGGAGGCAAAGATAGTGAAGCTTTGTCTTACTTATTTTGGACATGTTCTTAGAAGAGGCTGATCCTAGGAAAGGGACATCATTCTTGGAAAGGTGGAGGTTCAGCAAGGGAGAAGAACACAAATGGATTGATAAAGTGTGGCAATGGGCTCAGATGTGTCACAGATGATAAGAATGGTGCAGTTTAGGACAGGGTTCAGATCTATAGTTCACAAGGTTGCTGTAAGTCTTATTCAGTAAACAGCACTTAAAAACAACATGTGTGTGACTCTTGGACAATGAATAGGAAGACTCAAGAATTGCCACCTTTTAATTGTGATGGTAAAGAATATGTAATATTTGTTGAAGCAAATTCTATGATTTCAATGATTAAAAATATTTTTTTTTAAAAAAAGAATATTTAATATGCCGTAGACTGCAAAAGAGAGCAAACAAACATGTTGCAGAAGTGGTGCAGCCAGACTACACTTTAGAAGTGAAGGTGAAAAGACTTCTCATCTTCTCAGGGCATGTTATCAGGAGACACCAGGCCCTGGAGAACATCATGCCTTTGTAAAGTGGAGAGTCACTGAAAAAAAGGAAGACGCACAAGACGTGTCAACACTAATTGTAACTCTGGGGCTCGTACGTAGCATTGAATGGGCAGAACCAGACAGTGTTTTAGTTATTGTTCATAGGGTCGCTGTAAGTCTAAATAGTCCATTATCTCACTTTTTAGAAAATCCTCTGATTGTCTTATTGTTAAAATTTTTTTTAAACTTGAAATATGTAGCAATTCCTTTTGAGCTTTGATTCAGTCTGTTTAATTACCCCATAAGATCAGCTAATTATGCTTTCATAACTACCATGTGACATTGGTAGGCTGGTTGAAAATTATGAATATTTTCATCTTATGCTACTGAAGTAATAAGATTGTCATTAAATTACAGAATATGGTAAAAGCTCTATTTATGACTAATACCTGTTGGTCGTCGAAGATTGGTAAATCCTTTCTATAGAACTAATTGGATATGTTTTATCATTTTGTCTACTTTGTCTTTATATCTTCTAATTATGGTATTCTTTACCTTTGGGAACTTTCATAAAGGTACCATTTTATTATTTTTTTCTTAGAATTACTATACTAATTTTAATGAAAGTTTACAGATACTTTGGATTTCCATTCATTCATTGTTGCACCATTTTATTGTTATAGTACAGATTTTTTCCTAAGCATGATTTCCATACATTTACACAGTTTTAATAGTTTGACTCTCCCATATTTTTCTGTATTTGAACTGCTGCAACATCTTCATTTAAACACGTGTTACTAATGTTGTTAGATGCCTTCAAGTTGGCTCTGATTCTTGATGAGTGTGCAACAGAAGGAAACATTGCTCAGTTGTATGTCACCCACACAGTCATGGCAGTATTTGAGGCCATTGTGGCAGTAACTGTCAGTCCTGCTTGTTGAAGATCTTCCTCATCACTGAACTTCTACCAGACATCCCCTCCTCCAGTGCCTGGTCCTTCCTGATAACATTCAAAACATGGGAGGCAAGTTTCATCTTCCTCGCTTCTATGAGGCATTGTTCTGGCTGTATTTCTTCCAAGATAGATTTACTGGTTTTCTGGAAGTCCACTCAGTGAGAGAGACAGAGAGACAGACAGACACACAAAGTTTTTCTTTGTATGAACATACACAGTTTATTTCATTTTTTCATTAGTTATCAAGTGATGGTATTATCCTACCATCGTGGTGTTTAATTTTTATGATAACATATTGTGATACTTTTAATTTTAAATTATCAGTGCAAAAGGGAGATTTTTGCTTTTGTATCTTGTGAAAAGAATACTGCATGAATGTAATAACAGCTAAACCGATTTCCTAAGAAATTGGCAGTTGAGTGCTGTCACAGAGGAAGAACAGTAGTACTGAAATGAACTGACAGGACATGGATAAAAGGGATTATTACTCAGATGATTCATAATATTCCATTTGTAGTATTATCAAGGTTTAAACGGTTTAAAAATAGTTCACCATGGAATTATAGGCCTCCTAATTTATTTGTCAACTCTAGTATGAGAAAGAAACACTGTTTTGTTTCCACCCCTCCAAAATGTGTTTAGCTCTTTTGCATGATCTCTACTACTCAAAAAGAAAAAAAAATTACATATATATGAAAGATCACTGTCTTCAAGTAACCTAGAACCTAGGTGTGAGGGAAATACTCTCTTGGTTTTTTGGTTTTTTTTTTAAAATAAAAAAGACAAATGCTGCATAATGCCACTGTTATAGAACAAGACTGATTTGGGGGTTGGAGGGAAACTAAAAAAATGTGGATTAAATAATGTACACGGCATTGAAACAGGCAAGGGAGAGATCTGTATAAAAGGAATATATGATTAGGTATTATTGGTATGACAGATGTTGCCTAGTAAAGTAGTCCAGGGAAGGGGGAACTGTGTAACAATGAAATAACTTCTTTTCCAAAGAAAAAAGCGAACTGGGGGGCAGAGGGGACAGGGAGGAAAATGTGCAACAATGAATGAATAGAAATCCAGGTTCTTTATCAATTTTCATTAAAATTTAAAAAAAAAAAAAAGCAAACCAAAAATGTTAAGCCTGGTAATTGTGAGAAAAACGTTTAGCTCTACCTAAAGGGAGCTTTAGTGGTTTAAAGAATTGTACTGCTAACCCCAAGGTAAACAGTTTGCCTCCACCAGCTGCTCTCTGGGAGGAGGGTGGTCAATCTTCTCCTGTGCTATTTCCTGCCTATATCCTGCATCTGAAAACCCGCGGGAGTCACCTACGGGTTGATTCTGACTTGACAGTACACAACAATAGCAACAATTAGTAATGAAATTTCTGATGACTAATGGTGAAGTTGGAAGCTTATGATTTTGACTAATACATGTAATGTTATGTGTATATTTTATAGTTAAGGGACTGGCTAAACTTCTGTCTTTGTAACTTGCTCATAACTCTCTTTCACTTTGTAGCATAAGTGCTATTTTTAAATTTATTTTATTTAAGTATCCTAAGTTTTTGCAGGTATAAGAATCATTGTAATATGGTAAAGAAAACAAATGAAAAATGTCTCCAAATTTGACAGCCTCAGACAGTTGCTGTTTACACTTTGCATTGTACACTCCTTCAGTCCTTGCCTTTGTGCTGTAAAGTTAACTGGATATAATTTTAAATGCATTTTAAAGTGATCATAGTTGGAGGAAATTGAAAGTAGTTGAAATACAGGAGTGTCTTGGGTAATAATGACTTCTCACTTTGATTATTTCCCTTTAGGAAAGACGCTGCTAATCCTGTGACATGGAGGATTGCCTTCATACCTCATCTGAGAATCTGTCCAAATTGGTCAGCTGGGCCCACAGCCATGGGACCATTTGCAGCCTCATTCCAAACCTGAAACACTTGCTTTCAGAAGGTTCCCATGGGAACCTGACAGCAATGTGGGGCTGCAGTGCTGGCCATGCTTATCACTGGCCACTGACAGCTACTTGCAGAGCTGGGTCTCAGGAGAGGGTCTGTTTCCAAGATAACAGAAGTTTTAATTCTGATAGTCCCAGTATAATTGGGGTACCCTCTGAGACACAGACCAGCCCTGTTGAAAGGTACCCTGGGAGAGCAGTGAAAACTAAGCTAGACTGTAACCGGACCAGAGACTCTTGTGACTTCTCTTACTGCAGCGAGCCATCTGAACTGGATGAAGCCGTTGAGGAGTACGAGGATGAAAACACGCTGTTTGACATGGTTTGTGAGTCTTCTGTTACAGATGAAGATAGTGACTTTGAACCCCAGACTCAGAGGCCTCAAAGCCTTAGTCGAAAAAGGCCTAACGTAATCCCGTCTTCTCTCCATTCAAGCTCTCAGACTCAGATGATTGATGAATGCAGCAATGATGTCATCATCAAAAAAATCAAACAAGAGATGCCTGAAGATTACTACATTGTGGCGAATGCAGAGCTGACGGGAGGGGTAGATGGACCAGCCCTCTCATTGACACAGCTGGCAAAGCCCAAATCTCAGACTCAGGCTGGTCCTTCCTGTGCGGGGCCCGCAAAGCTGATTCCCCACGTAACATCTGCCATCAACATGGAGGTAGACCCACAATGTATGTCTGCTTCCCCCTCTGTAATCTCCAGACCAGTTGTCCAAAAGACTGCCAGGGTATCGCTGGCTTCACCAAGCAGAGGACCCCCTAGTGTGCATGGCACCAACCAGCAGGTGGCAATGCAGATGCCTGTGAGCACATCCCATCCTAACAAACAGATCAGCATCCCTTTGTCTGCCCTGCAGCTGCCTGGACAGGATGAGCAGGTTGCTTCTGAAGAGTTGCTGCCCCATGTGCCCAGCCAGGTTTCCTCGTGTGAGGTAGACCTTTCTCCTTCTGTTAACACAGAGCCAGAAGTGAGCTCCAGCCAGCAGCAGCCCCCGGTTGCCACAGCCATCACCACGGAGGCCACAGCCCAGTGCATACCAGGTATGGCATGTGAGGTGTCGGCGAGTCCCTCATCCCCACACACAGAGGTCTGCGCCACCAGCACTTCTAAAACCCTTGGATTCATTTGGTAGAGTTTAGGCTTTGACTGTTCTCAGAAAGGTAGTAATCAAATGGCTTACACTCAGGTGAGGCTACAAAGACACTTCATGTGAATTAAGACCCACTACATGATGTTGAGGAGGATGGAGAGTCGGTGAAGGAGAGGAAGACCCTCAACCAGGTGAACTGATACAGTGACTGCTGCAAAGGGTTCTTGTGTGTCAGGAAGTGTGAGGATGGCACAGGATAGAATAAGGTTCAGATCTTTTGTTCATGGGGTCACTGTGAGTCATGCTCAACTCGATTGTACCTAACAATAATAATAGTTTAGTTAATATACTTTAGGACAGTTGTAGAATTGTGTTACTGTATCATTAGACTTAAGGTTTGTGTCCAACCTTCAACTGTTTTTTATATGATAAAAGTTACTTTTGAAAGTTTATTTCTGGATGGAGGAGTGGTTTAATGCTCCCCTGTTAATATCAAGATTAGTTGGTGGTTGTTTGCCAAAACAAGGTTAGACAAAAAGTGATAGACCTCATTATTTTTTCCTTTGTTTTAATTTTTTTTTTTATCCAGCTGGCATTGCTATTCATGGTGTGATAATTTAAAAGTAGCTCTTAAATAGCAGCAAGCACCTCAAAAAGGAGTACTTGATATCATTCTCCAAATGTAAAAGAATTTGATAACGTGTATTTTTGGAATGTTTATAACTTACTGGAACTTAATTTTCTTACCATTAGAGAAGAAAACAGCTGTATCTCATATTTTATTGTTTAGTAATTCTAACACTTTGTGTGTATTTAATCTAGGCCATTGTTTTATATAAAAGGGGCCCAAGTCTCAATGTTTTTAAGTTTGTGGTTCAAATTTATTAGGCCTGAAGTATCGACAAAGATGAACAGAGAAGGGTATATAGGAAGCAGAAGGATGGCAAATTTTGGTTTCTCTTAGTAGATTTGAATCTTCCATCTGCTCCAAGGGAGAAAGATGGACACTATCCTCCTCCTGTGTGGTTTACAGCCTCTAAAAATACTGGAGGGTCAGCTCTGGGCCAATTTTAATTCAATGACTGTGAGTTGTTGTTTTGTTTTTGTGTTAGGACGTCTTAGGAGAGTCAAATATTTGGGGAAAAGTGTCCTGGAAGCCCAATGTTGCAGTCCCTTTACTTTTAAACTCTCTTAAGTTGCTTTGCAAACTTTCCTTCTTAATTTCAATATAAACGTTAAAATCTCCAATTTATGTTTTAAGCAAACCGACAAAGAAACACAGTCATAGTTGTATATGATAAAAGTATAAACGGAAAATATTCATGTTTTTATTCAGAATCACACTTTTCAGTTTATTCATTGTTCTTTTTTTAGTACCAGCTTTTTTGAACTGTAATTTGCATACCCTATCATTCTTTTAAAAGATATAATTCAGTTATTTTTAGTGTATTCTAAGAGTTGTAGATCCAGTACCACTGTGTAATTTAACAACATTTTCATTACCCTAGAAAGGAACTTTGTTCTCATTAGCAGTCACTCCTAATTCTTCACCCCCACCCCCGCCTCTGGCAACAACTAAATTACTGTTTCCATGGATTTGCCTATTCTGCACATTTTATATGAATGAAGTCATACAATATGTGCTTCTTTGTGGCTGACTTACTACCTTTAATATATCTCCACTGTAGTGGCTAGAGCAGCATTTCACCCCTTTTTTATTGCCAGTTTCCATTTTATGTCATTGTAAGAATATAAAAGTCTTTTGGCTGTCCTTTTATTTTGTGGTGAACATTTAGGTTGTTTCCTCTTCTTGCTTCCCTCCACTCTCATGCCTACTATTTTGAATAATGCTGCTGTGAACTTTTGTGTACAAGGTGTTGGTTGGATATTTGTTTTTATTTTGATTAGAGAACAACCTAGAAGTAGAATTGTGAAATTAAATGGTAATTCTATGTTGATCTTTTATGTGAACCATCAAATTGATTTTTCATAGTTGCTGTATTGTTTTACAATTACCAAAAATGTATGGGGGTTGCATTTTCTCCACATTCTTCTTAAGAGTCCTTTTCCTTTTTTAAAAATAGCTTATCCAAGTGCAATCTCAATGTAGTTTAGCTTTGCATTTGCCTCTGATGGCCTAGTGGTAAGAAACTTCACTGCATTCTGAAAGACAAAAGGTTGGAATCTATCAGCTGTGGTCCCATGTGATTTACTGCCTCTCAAAACCTGCTGGAGGACCAGCTATGAGTTGGTTCTGACTCGTGGCATACAAAAACAATAAATAATGAGGAGATAAAAATGGGCAGTCACCTCTTCTTGCACAGTATACTGCTTCTAAAACCCACTGGAGTGTCAGCTATGAGTTGGTTCCAACTCAGTGGTACATAACAACAATGAATAATGACGGGAGTTCTGTGGCTCATTGATGAGATGTTGTGCTGCCAACCCAAAGGCAAGTGGTTCAAATCTATCAGCTGCTCTATGGGAGAACGATGTACAGTATCTGCCTGTGTGATTTATAGCCTCTGAAAACCCACTGTTGGATCAGTTTTCAGTTCCAACTCGATGACACATAACAACAGCAATGAATAGTGATATTGAAAATCTTTCCATGTGCTTGTAGATCATCTGGTATCTTCTTTTTAAGAAATGATTATTCAAATATCTTACCCCTTTTTCTTTTTTATTTGTTGGTTCTTTGGTGCTTTTGTTTGTTTGACAATTCCCTTAGACATAAATACTTTTTTCCATTCTGTAGGCTTTCTGGTTTTGCATCCTCTGTTCTTCCCTCCCTTCCCCCTCCCCCCCAACTTTTACTTTAACCACTTACTTAGCAATGTTAATTTTAACTGCCCATTCAGAATACTATCTCTGTTACACTTGCTAGAAAAGTCTTTGTGTTAGGAAATTCCTCTGTACTTTCATACATGCAGGATATAAGTAGTACCTCTATAAGTAGTTGCCAGTGTTTGTGTAATGTCTCTTTTTTTTTCTTTCTTTGTAAAATAGGGAATTTAGCCTGGCAAATTTTCATGTGTCTTTCTGTCTCTTTCTCTAAAAGATGAAAATTCCATTTTATGTATTCTCATTTAATTTATACACAAGGATTGAATTGCGTAATCTGTTTTGGAGAGTGCTCTACTATATACCCTGACAGCTTAACTAGAGTGTTGTGCGTGTTAAACACTCTTCCACTGACTTAGCCATGCAAAGCAAAGATGTCTTTGCAACTGCCTCATGGATAGTAAATGAGACATTTGGGTTTGTTCACTAAACTACAAATGAATACCTTGCTATGTAACTATTTTGGAAAATAAATTCCCTTTCAAAAAGAAATCATTTTAATCTCTTTATTGTTACACACTTTATTCAATTAGGTGTTCTCCTTTTCTCTTGGAAACTGTAATTGTTATATTGTTGTTAGGTACTGTCAAGTCTACTCCTACTCATAGCAACCCTGTATATGCAGATTGAAACTGTCCCTGCCTGAACCATCCTTGCGGTCTCCGTTATTAGTAAGCCCATTGTTGTAATCAGTGTGCTAGTCCATTTTACTGGGTGAAGGTCTGTCTTTCTCTCACCCTCCATCTTCCCAAACAAGTTGTCTCCTTGCAAGGACTGGCCCTTCTTGATAACATGCCAAGAGTATGTGAGCAGAAGCCGCACCATCCTTGCCCTTCACGAGCACTCCAGCTGCACTTCTTCTAAAGACTGGTCTTTTGTCAGTCTGTGATGTATTCAGTACTCTGTGCCACCACATTTGTTGTAACAGTGCAAAATTCTGTAATTGTATTCATGCTTAAGCTTTGTTACAGTTAGGAAATTTAGGTTTAGCCAAGTATACCTAATGCTGTGGAGTTGAATCTTACTCATAGTGGCCTTCCATTTCATTTCTGAGACTGTAAATCTTTACTGAAGGAAACTGTCCATCTTTCTGCTGGAGAGTGGCTGATGAATTAGAATCATCCACCTTTTGATTAACAGCCCGAGATAGCTTAAGCAGTCATTAATTATGGTGGCTTAGTGGTAAGAAACTGAGCTGCATTTCCAGAGGCATGTGATTCTAATCCACCAGCTGCTCAATGGGAGAAGGATGGATAGTCTCTTCTGTGTGATTTACTACCTCTGAACCCCCGCTGGAGCATTAGCTATGGGTCGGTTCTGACTCAGTAGCACACAACAACAAATTATGACAGTAGACAGAATTGATCATAGAATTCCTTAAAGAATTTCTTGATGTTTTGATTATTTTTTGTGAAAGAATGTATCATTGCTGAGATAACATTAAATGTAAAGATATACTGTTTGGTTTGTTGTTGTTATATACCATCAAATTGGAACTGACTCGTAGCTGACCCTTCAGTGGGTTTTCAGAGGCTTTAAATTGCATAAAAGGAGATTATCCATCTTTCTTGCATGGAGCAGCTGGTGGATTCGAACTGTGCACTTTTAGGTTGACATTGCAACTCCTTACCATAAGCCACCAGAGTTCTCTACTGTTTGGACTATTCGCATACAAATTAATCAAACTTTATAAAGAGTACTGATGGTATAGTTCATAAGGTTGTCCAAAGCCATGCACCTCTGGCTGTTCAATTCCACCAGTGACTTTGTGGGAGAAAGATTGACAGTCTCTTCCCTTGAAATTTACAGCCTCCAAAAACCCACTGTTCTATGCTCTAAAGTAAGTTTTAGCTATTAGTTTGTGTTTGTATATACATTTAGAGTAGCGTTGGGTCGAAACTGAGCAGTTTGAATCCACCAGCTACTCCGTGGAAGATGAGCAGGCTCCTCCTATAGAGCTTTACAGCCCCAGGGAGCGTCACTGTGAGCTAGAGCCAGTGATATTTTTATTTAAACAAAATTTTTCTTTCATACTGGTTTGCTCACAAAGTTCGTATACATTGTTTTGGGTGTTTTTTCCCCCTTTTTCTTTAAAATAAAATTTTT